CAGCAGCATCCATATATGATTTCCGGGTATTTTCTTACTCTTGTCTTAATATAGAAAAACTCTACATAGAAATCGTTTACTGCAATAGTAGCGAATCATTCTATTTAGTTGCATTAGCAGCGTTAGCCGACTGGTCATAGCAGTAGTAGTAATGAAGAATGTATGCATACGATAATAATAGTAGTACTATTATTATACCGTGTTTTCTGTTGGATCTAGCTGTTTCTTTCCCGTTTTCCTGCTTATGAACGGACAATCGAATCGAGTAAACCAACACTAACAACGACCCCGGCAAGGAAAAAATAATCAGGCAATCGATAGCCGCAGTTGGCGCTAGGTCCCGGCCTGAGCGCTCTCTTCCCCTCCAGCGATAACTGAGCAAGCTTCCCATGAATTACTTCTTTCACTTGTGACGGACCCGTAATTCATAGTACGTTCGCCCTTGATTTTCTTTCGAAATGTTTCTTTTGTTGTAAAACACGGGAAAATCTTTGTTCTAGCAATCACTTAGATTAAATCCACTGGACATTGACAATCGGCGCTCTTCGTCGCAGCTAGTTCATTTCTCCCGAATGGGGTCAGTTGTGTCGCGTCACTACAACATGGCTCGCCCGTAGCATGTAACCCTGCATGTGAGAATGAATGACTTGCTAATGAAGTTAAGCGGGCTGGGTGGGAACCGGGGCAGACAGAGACCAAATTGTGGCTAGGTTACGTTCGCGAGACGATACCGATCGTTGAAATTCCGTAAAGGTCATCATCGCGGTTGAACACCGGCCAAACCGTAAGCGACGCAACGGCGTTGCTTGAGGAGTGGCGTCGCCAGAGTTAATGCGACTGGCGATGCTGATGCTCGATTACTATCGTGCTCTAATGGTTCAATGGTCGCAGTGGTAAGCCACTCTGAACACAACGACTTACCACTGCGACGACCCCGAGTAGTACTACTGTTTGTGTCACTATAACTGTTTGCTTTTGTGTTTACCACTGACGTCGAGGTGATGAAGGACAAGCCCAACAGGCCGTTGCTTGTCCCGTCGATGCACGTGAACCTCGTTTACCTGCGCTCTAATTATAGCCGTGTTGGTGTACTCCTTGTGCAAGTGCTTCCCACGTTCGTGCTCGAACCCGGTGGCGGCGAAGGGAAACGTGGCATCGTCCATGCTACTGTCCAAGCCAGCGGATGAATACAACTGAGGGTGGCCTCGTTTCCTGCGTCTGTGTCGCTTCTTAAATACACTGATGGCGGCTGGTGTTTTGTTTTCTTCTCGAACGGTCCACGTGTAATAGCCGAATGTTAGCCTCGTTGCATTTACGTCCGAATCTTTCGGTTCTCTAGAAAGGGAGAGGAGTGACTTCATTTGCTTCAGTACGAGCATTCCTCTTGGTATATAATAGCGTGGATGTAGAGGCGTGGAATATGATATGGTAATCGTGTCGTAGCTGCGTGTGCCAGATGCATAAAACGCGCCGCTTCGTACTGAAGTCTAATATATAAAGGTAAACAATAATATGATGTATAAACACCGCCAGCAGACAAGTCGAACGAATTAGCAACAACTCGATAATGTCTACTTCATGCGGTTGCAACATGCAGCGGGTCAGTTTGGGCCGTCAATCATCTTAATGGGCAAATTGACTAGCGTCAGTCGTTTGTTAATCAGCGCCGGCCATTGCATAACCAGCGAAATATATTGAATAACATCGGCTATTTTTCGCCACACACAGGACACTTCGACACGACGGGAGTAGAAAGAATATCGAAAGCCTGCCAGCCAATTCGGTTATTTTTTTCCTCTCTAGATCCTGCTAAACCTGAATCCTCTCATTCGTGTTTGCCTAGACAACATACGTTAACGCTAACAGTATGCCAGACCGACATGTGACATTGCAAAGTTTGGTCGCAGACAGAGACGGAGAGACGTTTATGGCGTCCGTGTTGAATGGCTGTGAGCGTATTTTTGTCGTACTCGTGCCAGATGGAAACTTCATACTACTACTACTACTACGACAAAAGTGAGCCACGGATGTCAAATGACGAGCTGGTAAGTAGCTTCAGATCTCCAAGCGGCACTGCTAGTAAAGATATATAAAATTCGTTCCGCTGTAGTTCATCGCGATGCGGTGACGAATCGATCCTGCGTGACTAGCGCAAACAGGTCTACTAAAATCTGTATTAGCACGACGTTCAACGACGAGCTAATTCGTTTCAATTGTAAAGCTTGAACGTGCAAGCATGGAACGTTGAATCGTCGACACCTCGTTGTTGTCATTTATGACCATTGTATTTTACCACGCCTATTGTTTTACGTATCTTAATAGATTGTGTGTTTGACGGGTGAACAGGCGACGGTTTAGAAGGTCTCAAGTAACCGATACAAATAGGCAACAGTAAAAGCGCATTACTATATTAGTAGTGATAACAACTATGCTAATTATAGAAAAGCAGATGTTTAACACTTGTTCCCGTGATGGCTTAGCCGGTAACGCGTTTGTCCACTAGACCTGCCGACACGTGGCGGTCTATGCTCGAAGGCGGGCGTAAACGCTTCATGCTGGCAACCAGCGCTCGGAAGCATCGAGTGAAAGAAACATCGTTTTCTTTTTTCTAAGATTTCTTCGTTACATTTCTGTTTTGACGGTATGTACTGTAGTAGCAAGGTCAGTCGCGTTTGTGTCCGCAGTTAGTGGCTTCTGTCAATCGTGCCGACAAATCGGCAGCGAACGCTGAGGTTATTTTTAACGCTTCGTACGGAAACAGCTTTTACAGATCATCAAAGCTGTTATCGCCTGCCAGGTGGCGACCTCTAACATGCGTCCGCACCTCTTTGACTTCCGAACTTATCGTAGTAGTAACGCATGGCAGATGACCCCCACTAGTTCTCGTTTAACTATATAGCTAATTAGTCTAGCTAATGTTAGTATTTCTAGCTGGTCGCTCTTGCAGTTTAGAGAAGCACCGTGTCCGAACGACACTGATGTGTTGGTTGTATCCTTGACTCAGTGGCAGATTAGCAGTTCAGTGTGGGAATCGATACTAATACTGGCTTGAATGAATACCGAATCGTTCTCGCTGCCAGATCTGCTCGCTAGATATTGGCTTTTAGAATTTTAATCAGTGCCTTCTTTTAGCTTAAGCTACGATTTTTTACGCTTACTTTTTCTGACAATTAATAGAATGTCTAACCTATTTTGTTCAGCTAACAATTATGTTCACGAGGTATAAATAAACTGACTAGTATTTCACTAATCGAGGCATCCGAGTCTGCGCACCTCGGTACTGGTGCACCGCCTATGACAGTCAAAAAAACATTCCCCAACACCTACAGGGTGATACATGTAAGAAACGCTATTATTTGTGCGATGGGAAAGGATGGCTCAAAGCGCGCAACGCATAGACGATCCTGTGCGTTTAGTTTATATGTTAGGCTGTTGCCATTTGAAGACTGCTGGAATAACATGGTCCAGCCTTGATGACCTTCTGCGTCTGGTCCGACGTGCGCATAATCAGGCACGCTTCTTCATTGTCTTCGCATATCGCTGTATAGATGTCACACTACAGCGTCAGCGTTTTTTTTTTCTAGTGAACGTTATCTTAACTATCCCAATTCAGTATTGTTCGAGCTATTACAAGCAGGCACAGAAAGATCTGCCATTTGTACAAACGCATATAATACTTATCACCTAGTGAAAAGCAAGGAACAAGAATTTGTTCCGGAAGTCGTTTCATCTGGATTTGCCTATGATATGATAACGACGTCAAAGTTAGGCGGAGTTGTGTCAAGGTACCGCGCCACGTTTGACAGATTGAAAAAGAAAGCTAACGCTGATTTGCCGTTTGATACTAGAACGATATGGCAAGCTGAAAATGGTATTTACGAGCAGAATACGACACAGACATGTGGACCTCTACGTGAACTTAGCCTCATTAGTTCAAGGATAATGGACCATTGCTCTCAATATTGCGTTTACGGATTAATATCAACTAATTAGAAGTAAATGTCGAACCTATTTCATTAGAGAGATTGTTTGGCCAAAAGGCGGCTAGAAGTTAGGGAGCGGGGCTTCAGACGGCCAGCGTCACTATCTCGTTTACACGCGTGCATAACAGCCACAGACAGATATGACTAAAGTAATGAAATTATGTTTACAAGTGAAGCTTTACCGAAATAGCCTTTAGAAATGGAATCATTAAAAGTTTTGTCTTTGGCACCCATCAATCTATACCTCGGTTAGTTCAGTCATAGGCCAGAGGTCATTACAAGGATTCGTTCTTGTCTAACCAAATTTAGGACACAGTAAGCAATGCTATGGTTAGGAGATAGACTGGGTCGTTGCCATAGCGCTAGAGTCGAGAAGGAGTCCTGACCGAATTTAGATGGGTCTATTTCCAGTGTGGATAACCTATGGGATATTTCCTTGCCTGGAAGGACTGAATATCGTGCAACGTATAAACTCTAACGCTTGACAATACAAATTTCCAATTTAAATAAAAAAAAAATTCTGACTTCCGTACTTCTGTTCTCCACGTCTTCCTTGGCATGTACTGATTCTTCGATGTCAACTAGTAGCAGTAATAGACTGCTATCAAATCTTGTAGTGATCCCGTTACGATCCTACGTAAAGCATAGGTAACGATCTTCCACTGTGGTGAGATAGATCTTAAGATATAAGCCACCAGCTCGGTCTACTAAGTCTGCGTCAATTTAAAAACGAGAAAACAAATTCATTGGTAGATAATTAAATGTTTTTGGCCGAGACGAGTAAATAGACACCAGCCTCATTTAGACAACGCCCTGTTACGTGGATGACGATAGCTGACGTGTGTTCGGTTTAAATTTGGCTAACTGGGTTCTACGAAGTTCGGAATGGGTTTATGATGTCGAACTAACAGTTAACTATAAGAAGTTTGTGTTGGGATTTGCCTTCTAGCTAATCGTATTTCATTATAATCTTAGTAATGTCTCGTTTTGATGATTTTCTGTATTTTTACATTGCAGGATCGCAACATGTCGTTCTTTTCGAATATCAAAAAGATTTTCTCGTTAAACACAAACTCAACAGCAGTTGCCCAGGATGCGAAGCGGCGAAAGCTGAGTCACAACATCCGTTATGAAACGAATCCTCTCGAATTCTGGGAACTCATCGGTGAATTGGGTGATGGGGCCTTCGGAAAAGTGCACAAGGTAAGCTGGACAATATGCTGAATATAGCAGTGATGTCTACCCGAATATAATACCAATCATGTGACAGAAAATAAATAGTCGCACTCCGAACTGAGACCGATAACAGTAATGGCAACAAAGCGGTACAATTAGAAAAAAAAAATATTATCAAGCTTGCTTTTATTGCGATATCTTAAAAGCATACGGGTAAGGGTATTTCATGCCTTACACATATATCTGATTTACGTATTAGGCCGAAAGTGTAGATTTAAGCTTATGTTGGCAAAGCGAACCAGCTGTAAAAACGACTCGATGGGTTCGTTCACTGATTGTTTATGTATATATATTCTGAGAGTTTTTTTTTTTGCTGTGATACTAAGACGCAGTGTTAATCACGTAACTTTATAACGAAACCTACTCGCAGTCAGAGCTAAACCTTATTGTTTTTCGTTGGGTTTTAAATATCGTAACAAAGATTCAATAAAGCTAAGTGTTACCATTTAAAGATCCCACTGGGAAAATACACCACCACAATATAATTTGATTACAGACAATTAAAATTGTGTAAAGCGCACTTTTGGACTGCTATCATAATATTGATTGCTTTTAAACTAGGCGATCATTTAATTTTTCCGCGAAAATATGATTTTTGGAAGTGTGGTTACTATTCGTTAGTGTGTTGTTGTTAGCCTGACGATTGTAAGAAACGAGGGTGAGCGCAGGTCCTGTGGCCTGCGTCTGTGAAATAGAGTTTCGAAGTTCATCTAATTTAGTATCATTACGTTAATTGGTGTTGGCTATCTCCAAAATACGCACTTTGATGATATTGCAGAAAAATGCTTCGTAAGCGCATACCTTTTGTGATAAAAACACGTAGACGTTCAATGCTTTAGTCCCTCCGTTAGCCAAAGTGGACAAACGAAACAATAAACAATGTAAATGTTAATTTATAAATCCGTGGTTACCGAAGAATAAAGCGACGAAATCCTGCTAACGTTGTCGGCATTTGGTATTTGCAGGCCAAGCACAAAGAGACGGGCGTGCTTGCGGCCGCTAAAGTCTGCAAGCTTGATTCGGACGAGGATCTCGAGGATTTCACGGTAGAAGTTGACATCTTGTCAGAATGCCGACATGCCAACATTGTCGAACTCAAGGAGGCGTTCTTGCACGATCAAGAATTATGGGTAAGCATACAGGGTTGTCTTCATTATTTAACTGATCCAATCCGTTCCGCATAAGCGGATACTTATTTTTTTTACCCTTTTCCTATTCGTTACATGAGTGTGTGGTCGTCTGCTTAGCAGATTGAGGGTCGGCAATATTTGTCTCGGTATGTAAGCTCAGCAATAAATGCAGCAGATTCACACTCTGTACCAGTGCTTATTTTGCTTTCTTTGACATAATTATTATTATTACGCTAAGGTCAGTATAATCACAAAAATATATGAATATATTGTTGCGATTATGCTGCATACATATGTGTATATACAAGTGATAGGAGTGGGAACCTCATGACCGTAACGTAGATCATTACAGGTAATACGTTACTTTTATTCGGTTCTATCTTATGCACAAAGATAATATTTTGTCTTATTCAATAATCATCATTGCCGTGTTAAACTAGCCTCCAAAGGATAACTTGACCCCTGTGCCATTTGGGATGAGTGTTGTTATTATTGAAAAATAATGAAGAACAAGGTCAATACAACCAGTTAGTCAAAATCACATTAGATCATCGGCCGACTGTAGTGGCCTTTATGATAGAGCAGCCTTGGCCCCGTGATTGTCCTTCACTTCCACTTTAGCAAGTCTACAACAGGTGTCACTGCGACGCTGCTATGGATAGTTCCCGAGAATTACGGCATGCTGATTTGGGGCATGGTGACATGATGCCTGAATGGTCGGCGGCCGTAACTAGATAGGCAGACAAACAAACAGCGCGTCCTTCTTCGACGCAATGGCAGCAAAGTGCCATCGCCATGTGGTGCCGTGCTATGAATCGTCTAGGACTGGCGGGCCGATAGCAGGACAAGCTGTCGCAGTTACGGGGGCCGCGCTAGTGGCCCTCATTCCGCTCTTCAGAATAGTAGTCTCCGCTCTTAGAGCGATCATGGCAGTCCAGGCGACTGAATAAGGTCGAAAGGAATGATCGTAGGCGTGCACATGGACTGTTCTAACTATTGAGCTTTTGCACGGCAGGGAGCAGAATGCTATTTCTGACAGACGACGAAATACCAGGTTTAGTTCAGGGCAATGAAGGCTTCTGCAATAGATGGTCTGCAGTTGCACATCGACTGCATCACTCTAGAGTAACCTGTAGAAGTAGGGATATCTATCGCTAATTCGAATACTTCGTTTGGACGAACGCTGCCTGCAGACGAGATGATTGCAAATGCCACAATGCCAATAGAACATTAAACGACGAACGGCGTCGTCGTCGAACGCGTACAAACGAGGACGCTAAAGAAAGCTCAATGATGCAGATTGTCTCGGAGTGCTGGACCTAATGTAGTAAGATACGGGTGCCAGCCTGCAATTGGGGAAAATAATGGAGGATAAATCGTTCAAATATTTTCAGTGCCTGAGCAGGTGAACAGGACTGCAGTAATGTTGCAACTGCTCAGTTATTGATTGAAATAAACGCCATTAATAGACAGACAGTTATGCGATGTAAATTGAAGCCTACGCTCTAGCAGTTTATCGGTGATTGTTGCTAATTGTTTTTGTTTTTCTAATATATTTATGCATGTGTATAAAATAACTTACAAATGTAAGTAAGGGGTAAGGTTAGATTTCAGTATTAAGAAGATTAAACTTATTCGACGGTCGGATAAACTTAGTCGACATTGTCGATAAGTTGATAATGAGGCCGACTTGATGTTGTGATAGCAATTATGTAGAATTATACAACAATTAGTGACTAAGGTCAAGGGTATTGTGATGTTTGAGTGCAGGCTGTTATCGGTAATTCTAATTAGAATCTTGTTTAAAAATGAGGCCCGAGAAGTATGGCGGTGTGGAAAAGCTAGGAAAGGCGTAGTATCTGTATATGTCGTGTTATGGATCCTGCGACCCACAGATCACTTTCATCGTTATTCCAGATTCTCGACGTTTGATGAGAAGAACGTACCGATGTACAGGGTCTGGTATTAGTTAAAACAGATGGCATTCGCCAGTAATAACAATAAATCTAAAGTTGTCGCTGGCAATAAACCCACTGGAAGTTATTGGTACTAAAATGCTACAACGTAGTTGATACCAAATAAGGTCCCATAGCTTAAATAAGTGGCGCTTCTATGTTTAATTTTGATATGATCGGGACTATTGCGCGACAAAATATTGAGGAATACCTAAATTACAAATAAACACATTGCAGCATGTTAAATGGTTGGCAAATATTAGCAGCGTGAATAGATTTTTAGTTGGAAAAATCTCCATACGTACGGTACATACAATGAAACTATACACGTACATTTATTTAGGCATAAGTGTAGCTAGTCTACCCCGAAACCCAAAAGGCCTACTTTTTGTTGGTAGTGCAGAAACGACACTAACCTTGAATAAGCGGCATGCCCTTGGCCTTTTTCTCGCAGAGGTTTCAACCTTGGGCTGGATTTGTGGCGGCATCTATGGACCAAAAAATATCTCATTTTAAAGCCTGGCTATACTCGAGTATCTTTATGTAATGGAAGAGATGCGCCTCACGTCTTAATAGAAACTCCTTCAAAGCCTCACTCGTAGCTAGCCCTAGGAAACTAATTGAATACGCTGAACTTTTTTTATATGTTACCCCTAAGTTTTTCTAAAGCAACAAGTTGTATAACTTAGCCAAGATCAAGGAGCAGCTTAAATAAGCTTTTAGGGATGCGGGAATTAGTCAGCTTCCGTAAGTGTGTGCCATGTGCCTAATTTTTTATGGGGTTTTAAAAACCTGCGAAGTCCCAGTTAAAGCGTGTTTATTTTTGACGAACAAATTGCTAGCTAGAAAATTTACAAATAAATAGGCCATTTGTTGGTCTCAATGTTTATCGCTGTTCATTGACCAATAATATGAAATCGTCCGTCCCGTCATCAGAGATTGTGATGAATGTTTCAAGGAGAGATCGCTTTTGGACTGGCGATAATTGTATACATATGTATCCCTAATTTACCTACTTCGAATAACGTCGCTCGTCCAAATCGGTCAATTACCTACTCAATGTGAAAGAATGAAATGCAGCGGGTATAGGGAAAGGGAAGTCTACGGAGTGGAATACATCGGCTTGGTCCGGTCGCTTTCCAGCTGTAGCTCTGATGGTGGACCGAGCTGTAAAAGAAATTAGCCAATAGTCGGTTGGTCCGACGACTAAAATGGGGAATGCGAGGTTGAAGATGTTGTCAGATGAAAAAAGAAGAAGAAAAAGGAAAGCTAAAACGTCGTCATAATCTTATACGAATCGCATCACGGAACAACGTTATTGCTCCGGCTGTACGTAGACGACACGTCAGCGATCGAGAGAGCTTTGTTTGCTGTTTACGAAGGTCTCCTTCGGTTGTACCGTCTGAAGATGCGGTCCGGTTCCTAGCGCCGGCATTACGACATGAAAATGTATTTTTCGAAAACGGACTTTTATTTTCTCACTCTGTTAGCTAGAAAAATAGTGGATCATGCGAGATCACTCGAGTACGGGCGGGTAAAAGAAGCTGGAATTCGGCCAAATGCTAGTCACCTAAACACATTGAAAGATGTTGAATGAACTACGTAGCCCAACCGATTAAAACGAATGAGAATATTCGCTATACCTTGTATATGTATGTGATATGATAATCATCATGTTGCAAATAAAAAAAATCAATAGCACTAACGTTTAATTTCGCCACCTCTCCCCCGTCTCATTTAAAGTGAATTGCCTCGTAGGCTGCTTCAGCAATCAGCAGTATTTTTAATGAGTTGCAGTCAAGCGAGAATAATCAATCAATCATTAGAGAGAGATGTTAAATTCTTTGGTTCACCTGCTTCGATCTGAAATTGGTTGGTCATTGTATATACGTTCGAGCGCCATCTTCTTTGCCCATTGGAGATACTGAGTTAATCTGGGGGCATTGTTAGAATTGTTGTACGAAGTGCTTTGGGACAGATTTACTCTCATGAGTCCATGTTATCCACTTTCTCCCAATGGGTTCTTGGTTGGGTTTGCATCACCACTTGTTGACATTTTAACTGATTTATCTAAATGTCCATTACTTACTTAGAACTACCTATTAGCGAGATTTATTCAAAAACGATGACTTCTCTTCACGGCTAAAATTAACGAGAAATAGCCACACAATGTACATAATGTTATCTACATTATTATATATAAAGTCTACATAGTATCATTGTTAGTACGCTGTAACTTATTTTAATCATTTAACGCTGCTGGTTTAAATCTTCCCCCCTGACTACTGACACATTGCATATGATTTCAAAATGACTCGAAAGTACAGTGTGTTGCGCAGATATTTTCGCTATATGTGTTGCTCTTCTAGGCAAAATCTTATTTTTGGTATACCCCCCCCCCCCCCCCGCCTTTCCAACCTGTTAAGCGGGGAAGAAAACTTCAGTTCTGATTAAAACTGCTTAAATTCGAAGTGATACACGCAGTCTGTGTCAGCGTAACAGTCTATATGAACAGTGGACGACCCTCTTCGAGCATACGCCTCAGAAGGTCTTTGTCGTGTCAGAGAAAATACGACATAAGGGTAGTGCATGTACCAGAATGCCCCCTCCCTTTCGCGTTGGCTTCCAGCGGAAGCGAAATAATGGCGTGTGAATAAGATACGTGTACGACGAATTCAGCCAAGGGGTTCCCCATATATGTGTATAGCATTTTTATATATTCCATCTTGAATAATCGCTCGAAGACCCATTGTGCTTAGGATGAGGTTGCTTGCGATTAGTAGAGAACGATACCTGTTTGAATAACATGCGGCATGTCGCGGTGTTGGAGGCCAACATCAGATAACATTTAACGAGATATGGTATATTAGGACCATCTGCCACAACAACTGAAGTGATATACAGCTAAAATTTATCGATAGCCGAGCCCGTCTTATTAAAAAATGTATGTGGGTGTTTCAGATAATGGTAATATAAGAACAAGTCTACGTAGCGGGATCTGTTATATCGTACTCTCTCAAAATCTAAGTACATAACGATCGTTAAAAATTGCTAGCAGTTATTGCAAGAACATGAATTAAATGAAATCACCAAAAAATGGCAAAAAAATTTTTTGCGCATGGAACTAATTCATTCGTTATCTTTTCTCCATTTAAATTCCATGGCTAAAGAACCAGACGGATGACTAATTTAGGTTTTTGTTGCATTACTCCCGAGCAACAGCTTTCCTAAGAACGTACTGCCTACGGCCAGTGTGAGCTATTTTGAATATATTTCAGGTAGACAGTGCGATGGTATCCACTTTGCCAAAGCACATAATTGTGCGGTGAGCTGATGCTAGTAGAAAAATAATAAAAAAAAAAACTAGCCGAAAGTAGGATTCAGAAGCTAATGGTTGTGGGTCCGGGGCTTTAACTGTACGATATATCGAATTTTAATAAAATCTGCGCTATTAGTTGTTTGTTATCAAAAATAATCTTACAATGATTTTTGCAATTATTTCAGTTATTCCTCGAATATTGCGAGGGAGGAGCTCTCGACTCGATCATGGTCGATCTTGAGCGGCCGCTAACTGAGCCACAGATACGTTACGTTTGTCGAGAAATGCTTAAGGCCCTTTCCTATCTACATTCGCATCGCGTCATTCACCGGTAGGTTTGTTACCGGCAGATCCGATCAAAGACCAGTAGTTGATTTCACCTTAAATAGTAGCTTGTGAAGATACCAATGGTTATTATGCTATAAAATGGCCGAATTAATTGGGTTTTTGAAATAATAACACATTTCTAGTAGCCAGCTGTGCCAAACGTGTGTCGCTAATCATATTCGAGGGGGTGCAAGCTGCAGTTTAGACCAGCTTTTATTGGAAATGAACGTACTATAATCGCCTTATTGTCATCGCTAGTCCTAGCTTAGCCATCGAGGCGTATCTGTAACGTTTGTCTGCGTCAAAAAATGTCTACATTGAGTTGCTTAGACCAGCCTAGTTTTAGCGGAGTTATCGAGGCAGCTCTTACGTCGATATGTAGGAACAGATCGATACCTGAACTCGAACCAAGGGCAGTATGGTTTTATTCTTCGATCTTGAGAAAGAAGATCTTAGGACAAATCGTCATAAAGCTCTTGGGAGACACAATATGTTTAGTGTACATTTACGACACACTAACCTATAACACGAGGAGCGTGTCGGGCAATCGCATTTAGATATACTTTAGTCAAACCGCACCTTCGGAAGACTGGGGAAAAGTCGAACTATTGACGCATTCATATTGTAAAAAAAAAAAAAAAAAATCTACAGTATCTATAACTAAGGCAAACATATATACACGGCACCTAAATTAAGATTTTAGCTTATGCTTTTTCATGTGCCATTATTGACACTTACACAGCTTTGATTTGGGATCTAAACCATTGACTATTTTTAAGATATTTTATTTTACATAGTTGTTGTGCGTCAAATGATACGCCACTCAGAAATTGAATTTCGGGTTTATGGCTGGCCAAAAAACTGAAAATCTAAAGAAACAAAACATTTAAAACATTAAAAATTTCAAAAATACTAGTCGAATGACCTAAATAACAATGGACAGCTTTCCTTATATAGAAAATACCATCAAATAACCGGCCAAACACTAGCGCTGCTATCTATATTACGTAGGGTGTGCAAAATGTATACACAGTTTTAATAATTATACCTGCAGTTTCTATGTACTTATACTTAATATTTAGATCGCAAAAGAATCCACCTAAAATGTGTAACTCCTACTGCTGATGGTACAGCATTAATGATAACAACTGGTGTGCCGTAATAGAATTTCAAATCCGTAACGCGCTCAAATCTCACTGACATCTTTGAGAACCTAAAAAATGTTACCTTTTCACTTGCCCAAAGAGCTATCTATTGTAGTTCCGTCGTTAGGTCGGCCTGAAGCAACTGCGTGTTCCTAGGACAAGAGTAATAGATCCTACCTAAGTGCGATTCTGATAACGCTATAACATGCGTTAGTTTGCTCAATTTTTTTTTTATCTACGAGGGCTTTTATACCATTGATTATTAATTTTATACCAAGTTGTAAGTGGAGCCTAATGAAGCAGGCTAATTACTCGCTTCAAAGGCCCGTTAAATTATAAATTCGCTATGTAAGGCATAATATTCGCGTCAAATATCTACTACGATGATAATTTTACTATAACTGGAAGTGTGAAAACTGTCAACTTACATTTCATGCGTGTTTATTATTTCGAACAACAGCAGCGACTTTTCAGCTTGGTCATAACAATCCAAAATCAGAAATCCAACACTTACAGGATTTCTCACAATGGCTTAATAATACGCTGGTGCTAAATGCGCTATTTGTTTTTATTACCAGAGATGTAAAGGCTGGAAATGTCCTTCTGACACTCGAAGGCGAGGTGAAGATGGCCGACTTCGGCGTGTCGGCCAAGAACAAGTTTACACTTCAAAAACGGGACTCGTTTATAGGCACGCCGTACTGGATGGCCCCCGAAGTTGTCGTATGCGAAACCTTCAAGGACCAGCCGTACGATTACAAAGCCGATATTTGGAGTCTTGGCATTACGCTAATCGAACTTGCGCAGATGGGCCCTCCGCACAATGACCTTGCGCCCATGAAGGTTCTGCTCAAGATCCAGAAGAATGATCCGCCAAAACTGGATATGCCTCACAGGTAAGCAGAGGGCGTGAATTTTTTGTACGTATCATACATTCGATTGTCTATAATTTTTTTTTTTGCCATTTTACGATTATTATCACTATTGTATTCTTCAAAACTATTTAACGCAAAGCTGCCAGCTTATAGATGCTCGCACACCCCTTAAAATTGGGGTAGCAATCATTCGTCGTAAAGTTATCAAGTGTTCTAGCAAAACACACGTGAGATGCTTAAATATAGCCGCCATTAATTTGCAATTCAGGTGGAGCAAAGACTTCAGTGAGTTCCTGCGGAAATGCCTCATCAAGGACCCCATTCAACGGCCAACAGCCGATCAACTCCTCGGAGACAAGTTTGTCAACGAGTTAATCATTGATCGCAAGCCAATTTGTGACCTCATAGCTGAATACAAGGCTGACGTCACCGTTGAAGAAGTGGAGGAGGAAGATGTGAGTCTGAAGCTTTGTTTTAGCACCAGCTTTCACAAGATCGTCGTTTGCCTCAACTAACTGCAGATAACGACTAGTCATACCTATTTTGCTTAAAGAATAGTCTGTCAATACTACACCTTCAATATGTGTTGTTCCAGTATGTATTTCTGTAGATGGTTAATTATGCTGAAAAATTTCGGCTAAGTCAAACTAGTTCCTTTGTAAGAGCAACCGAGCCAGGCCTCAGCTTCTCACATTTATTTATGCATATTACGATGCATTATTGGTTTTTGTCTCTTCTCTTTGCTATAGTTTAATCAGCTTGTATTTTTCAGTATCGAGCGTCGGTGGTAGAGTCGAATGGGGAAACGAGCTCCCAGATGTCATGTGAAGACGACGGCACGTTGAAGGCTGGCACAGGAACGGGCAGTACTCCATCGACCCCTCAGGACGACAAACAGCTCGCGTTGCTTACGCCGCCGAGTTCGTCAACACCGGAGGAGTTGCCCACTCCACTGCCACCCCACCGTCAGGGCGAATCTCCACCGAGAACTGCTAATCTCGGTTCTGGCCAGCGTGTAAAGGACCTCGTTAGCCCAACAAAGAAAAAGCCCGCACCCCCGCCACCCGGAGCAGTTAAACATGTCAGTCCTGTCCGGGAGAGTGGCAATAGGGAGATTTCTACTAGGAAAAACACATCGCCCGGTCCGCCGTCTCTGTCCCCAACCGATTCCGGCGGGAAACCGACTTTCAAAAAACCTGCACCAAAACCCCCGACAATAACTAGTGGGGCAATTGCCGAAGAGAAATTGAAATCGGCAGTTTTGAAATCGGCCGAAGAGGTTATACTTCAGGAATCTGGCGATAGACATCAGCCGCAGGTTATTGCAGATACTCTGGAAAGAAGGCTGAGAGGTTGGTTAAGAAGACAACAGTCAGTTGTGGTTGATTACTTCGAGTGTTATTTCAAAAATTTACTTCTTTATGTGATAATACTGGAAACTTCTTTATTGAAAAGGGAACTTACGATGACTGTGTTTAGATGCAGCAGTGTATTAATTAAGTAGGGAGGACAACAAACGTGTTCTTCGCACAAGAATCTTATTGAGTTGCTTGCTCTTTGATACTTTTTAGCTTCAGACGTTCCTACGGGTAAGGTTACACCCGACATTGAGGAGAAGGCATCTAAATTTGAAGAGTTCCGTCCCCAAACGCCCGATCTTAGCAAAACATTAGAGGATGAAGAGTTAGAAAATGTAGGTGGATCAGCCGAGCACGAACCGCGAACGGAAAGTGTCAAAGCCAAGACTTCAGAATATCAGGTACTGAACAGCATCAACAACCAGGAGACCGCTGATGAAACTGATAGGGTCCTAGTGACCAAAAGAGACGAGCGGCCCGCTGTATCTTTGGAGGACCTCAAGCAGATGATTGCGGAGAAGAAGAGGAGTTACTTTGACGGCAGCAGCGATAGCAATTGTGGGTATTCGTGTCATCAAAAGGAGCCATACATCTTGTTACTTCGGAAATTCGTACTGGTTTAAGCAAACAGAGGCTAAATAATCTTTATATATGTTGAAGATATTCGAAATTATGAAGACGTCTAATGTTTGTTTTTCTGAGCTTAGATTAGGTTAGCCTAGTAAGAGTAATAAATCCTTCGGACTGTCATGGATAATTTATTATCCTTTGTACAAATCAGAATGCAGAAGCAACTACACTGAGTTCTAAATGTTCCGTTGCTAAATTAATGTCATATGTAGGTTCATGTTTGGAGCTGCAAATATAAAGTAATAATGTTTAACAACGTTGTCTTGTGTAATGTCCGGAATGCGCATGCCCATTTAAAAAAGGTAAAAGCACCATGACCCCCTTCAGATGAAAATTAAACACATTTCCAATGGCTCAAGAACGTTTTCTCTCTTATTATGCTCCAATACGTTATCTAAATTACAGACATCTCATCGTACTCTATCCCGACTCCAGATCAGTCCGATGAAAGTCCCTCAGAGGACAGCGACTCCGGCTGCGTCGTTCCGAAACCACCCCCACCTATCCTACCCGAGCAGGTCGGAAAACGAGGCACGCCAGTGTCGACTCTGTTAGGCTCCGCTAACCAGGCCGCATCGCAAGGATGCAACAACTCCGCCTATCCTACTTTAGAACAGGAGGCGATCAGGGGTAGTGTAATAGGTGGTGAGGTTGTTGTTGTTTCATCAGTACCGGCTTCGGTTCCACCTTCGGTGCCACCAACGGCTGATAGGGCCAGCCGTTCTGTGATGACAGCTCATGGACCAACCCCATCCGCCGATTACGATAACGGCACATTGCAAGATCATGTAAGTGTCATATCGGTGGGTGGTGAAGGAGCCGTTGTGAAAGATTCCAGCTGCAGAATAGGAGGACCAGTTAACGGTAACGACTTGAATAATAGCAGCGCGAATCAGAGCGGTGGAGTCAATGGAGTGATTGTTTTGAGGACTAGGACAAGGTCGCTGTCAGAGAGCGAGCAGGAGGCCGCTCTTAGGTAAGTTGATGAGCACTATGTCGTTGGGGTGAATGGGCATTCATGATCGCACGATAGGCTTATCACTGAAATGCACCCGAACGCCGAATGCAGGTCTTGTAGGTTCATTACATTCATATATTGCTATCGTGACATACACTATGTAAAACAGCATGCATTCGATGTGTTCAAAAGTAAAAGGAATCAAGTAAGAGTTCTCCATTTTAGTAAGCGTTCAAACTCGCTCCTCTTTAAGAGTTTTTTTTAATATATTTCTTACCGTTCTATTATAGGCGGCCGTCATCGAGCTGGAAAAGCACTGAAGTCCTACCGTCTTCAATTGGTTGTACGCGTGATCGTGGAAATGAACATGAGGTGCCAATTAGCGTAAAGCTGCAAAAAGGAGGCTCACCCCTAGGAAGAACCTCTAACTCAGCCAGTCCTATTACAGAACACGTTCCGATGCGGGATTCTACAAATCAACGCAGGAGACTCAGGTGTCATACCCTTCGTTCACATTTTCGGGCTCAATACATAGCAGTTCAAGGATTGTGATCAGGTTCAAATATAATTATCGTACAAGTGCTATGTCTAACCCATGGCGAATTTTCGCCCGTCTAAAAAGAAAATGTTTCTATTTGTAGCCTGAAATGGCCTGTTAATTAATTCATCGATTACTTTCTTATCGGCGTATTGCAGTCCCTCGCGCAGCAGTGAACCGAAGAAAATTCCTGAGGACGCGTTGCGGGCCGTTTCGGCTCCAGCCGTACCTCGCGATAGCGGGGACCGCGAAAAACGTGACGCATTACAGCGAGCAACGGCCACAGCCGAAAAGGTCGACCGGCTACCATCAGCTACCGTTGTTGAACAGGAGAATCGTGTTAATGGTCAACCTCCGCAGCAGCAACCGTTACAGTCGGGTGCCCCACCCGTTGCCGCGGCCAAGAAGCGGCAGGAGGAGCGCCAGCAACGTCCCGCTATACATAATACTAGGCAAAAAACGCTTAAGAAAACACGCCGTTTCGTTATTGATGGTAAAGAAGTGACGCGCACAACAGAAAAGGTGATCATCGGGGACAAGGACACAAAGGACTACCACGAGGAGAGAAAGCAGGAGCTCCGAGAGCTCAAGCTATTACAGAAAATCGAGAACAAACAGTTTACAGACCTCGACACTAGGGAGCAGCAGGCTCTGGACCAGCAGAACAAGAAGTTTGAGCACGAACTCGCCATGCTCAAGCGCAACTACGAGACGGACCTTGACGCATTGACGCGCACACAAAAACAACGCATCGAGAAAATGGAACAGTCGCACGACGTCGAGGTGCGGGTGGCATCAAAACGCATCCGGGCGGAACAGGAAAAAGAACTTAAGGCCTTCAGGGAAGGACTCAAGAATGAGCTCAAGAACCTGCGCAGTGAAATCGAGTCGTCCTTCGCTAGAGACCAGAGAAAGACGGTGCTAAAAGAACGTACCGATCGATTAACCGCCGATCATGTTCAGCGGGAGGAACAATACATACGACAGCTCAACGAAGGCCATGATGAGGCCATTCGAGTTCTGGCCGAAAACCACCGGAAGGAGGTGGCCCAAACTGAGATGCAATTTTTGCTACATCGACAACAATTAGCGCGTCAGAAGGAGAGTCAGCAATGGGAGCTTGAGGAACGCCAACAACAAGATCGTTTCCAGTTGGCCAAGGGACAGCTTCACGACTGCTTCCGGTTACAAAAGCATCAGATGGTTGTTCGGCATGAAAAGGTAACTAAAGGGCCGGTTTGTAATTTTTTTTTGAGTTTTCAAGCTGTTTCTTGTAGTATGTAATACACTATAGGGTACCTGAGATTTAAGGAAAGCAACTGATAAGCAAGTACGCACGTGTTGGTATATAGCACGATAAAACTATCGTAATAGTGTTATAGTGAAAATTGCAAATTGTCAAAAATCGAATTGCTAATATTCCAGAGTCAAGAAGTGCAAATCTTTTGACAAAACTTTTATACACAAACCTTTCGTAGAAAACCATTTCAAACGGCGTCTTTCCACTAGGAAATGCAACAAGCAAAGAGAATGAGCGACCGGCGAGAAGAAGATCTCGAGAAGGCGCACGCCGTGGAGCGGCGTCAATGGCCGAAACATATGCGACAAGAAATGAAGGTTCGCGAGCAGATGTTTAAGGAGAGTTTACGGATCGGAGGAGGGGATGGTCAGGCCGAAGATCGGGAACGTCTACGATCATTCCAAGAAACCGAGAAAAAGAGGTACAAAAGGCAAAACTTAAGCTGTCCCATATTCTGACATGTTCGATTTAAGAAAAATATCTCCATCATGCGCGTCGAACATATTTGAAGTGGAATTCAATTACGTAAATAATACCCAGGGCACTTTTAAAGATTTACCTTTTATATTTTTCATTCCTGCCGGAAGCAGCTGTTCGAATCTGGCATTGAAGCATATGCTGCAGCTGAAGCTTAGGTTTGTAGATTTGCTAATACCTAATAAAACGCACCCCCAACCAATTGATAGTAGATCATTTTAACCAATTTTGTTTTGTGTTCGCAGGCAGAAGCTTACTGCAAGCTGTGCTGCGTTATTTTATGACATTTATGTACGTTGAAAAGCTGATCCACTCTTCGCATGACAATAACACGTTTCTGTTTCTTTCTGAACAGATACAAAACCGAACTCGCTCGCCTTCAGACAAAGCAACGTCGGCAAATGGAGGAACTGAAGGCAGCGTCCTCGGCTGCCGAACGTGAACTCAAGCAAATCCACGACGAGAAACGTGCTCTGCTACTTCAACATGAATCACAAAAAGACCGGGAATTGGAAGAGAAGCATCAATCGAAGATTAAGGAGTGGCGGGTAGAACTCAAGAGGCGACAGGAGATCCTCGACGATGATTTCCAGAGACAAATTCGTGACCATGATCGGTTCTATGCGGCCGAGTAAATTCTCCATTTACTACAAACGTACTGTATATCGCATTACGTATTGGTTGATGGCCAGACAGCGCCATCTCCATGGCGCTACAACACTGATTACCATTTGACGCAAGTATCTGGAAACGTTGATGCATTCTAAGGCCAAGTCTGTGGCCATACAGATGCGTGTTGTTACTGGTTTTTCAGTTACACTGTTACCTGTCTATTGAATCCTAACGAACGAATGGCTACTAAATGCAATGAATTGCGTCAATTAACCAAAAACCACTGAATGCGATATTCCGTTGCCACAATGTATTGGCAGCTTAGTCATTAGCCAGATTGCATTGCGGCAAAGACGTGCTGATAGCCGAGGGGAATAATGTGGCACTGTATAGAAGATTGATAAAAGATTAGAGGTAAATGTAAAAGGATTTACAATATCGCTGGCCATAACACAACAATTCCATCGCTTGTTGATTCTACCTTCAAGGTCTTCCTCGTCGAACACACGTGTGCTACGTCTGCCCTCTCTGTCTCGAGGGGTCCGAATTTACAAGTGCCTTTCTTCCGGTTGTTTGCGGGTTGGGTAGCCAATGATGCCACACGGTCACTTACGCAGATATAGATTTATCTAATCATCGGTTGTAGATTCGTAACAGAATATCGTAGAAGGTTCGCTTATTGGTCTATTATGATCTAGCAACGCTGTGACGGTAGGATACGACAGCTTTTCCCCGATCAGATCAATTAGATCGAGAATCAGATTAGCTGAAAGACGACTTAAGCGTTAATACAGCTTAACTGACTGATTTCTTGACAAATCGACATGATCCCATGACGAAAAGTAGCTACTACCGACATCGTTTTATAGTTTATCTGAACGTGCTTTTTTACAGCTACCTCTCAGAGTACCTCGTTATCTATTCAACCTGTCGTTCGCTCGAGCCGATAGAATCGACGCTTCTCATCGTAACCGAAACCTCAGCGTAGTTTTAGCCGGGGTCGTTGGATTACTGAGGATGTATTGCTGTATTTTGGGAATACCTGGGCAGCCGTGCCAATTGCTCGCTTCTCGCTGAAGGACGTGTAGAGTTTTGGTTAAAAGCCGCGTGCGGTACTTCCGAAGCGAACCCTAAATTTGTAGAAGCTTACCTTTCAAAGGTTTTCCACGAAGGATCGATGCTTGCGGATATTATTTTTGCGCATGACAAATGCTGAGCTATTTGGTAATACGCAGTCAAGGTGAAAATATTTTGTCAACGTCGATACAATGAGAACATTGACTCTAATGCTTCTTCTTATAAATACGCAAAAAACCGAAGGTAACTGTTACTGAAAAGCCTTACTGATCTAAAATACATTGATGGGACAGTTATACGAACGCGGTTATACAAAGCATATAGAATAGATGAATCCGTTTTAACAACTGGGATGTGCTCCCGGCCGTGAACTAGTTGGTGGGGTGCACCTCGAGAAAGCTGTGCTGCCAAGCGAACGCAAGTATCATTCAGACAGAACGGAACGGAACGACCTGTTACAGAACCGAAACAATGTACGGACGTAAAAAGATAACTGTTTTCTACGCGTGCGTGCGTGCATATGCGGATGCGCATGTTTGTACATAGACATAAACATCCTTATCCGTTAGATAAGCAATGATTCTATGCAGATTGTAGATAGGGAAATCTGCCAGGTCTCCTTGGTGGTATTTATGCGAAGCGTTAGTATTTATAGATAAAAGCTAAACGAAGAAAGCTAAATGATAAAAGCAGTTCGAAATGGAACCAACCAGAGCAACAAAAATGACAACAAAATAAAAACTTGTTTATAACAGATGCAATGATAATGGAACAAGAAACAGTAAAAAAAATCATGCAGAATTTAACCTCGCGTCGATATTTGTTATAACTGTGAACAGTAGAGAGTACGCAATGATAACATTTGTAACGAGCAATACTAAATGAATATAGTAAAAACGTGTATCGCTGACAGAAACAAAAACTATTCCAGGCTGGTTGACTGTTAAGGTTAACTATAATGATAATTTCGTTGCTATGCAAGTACCCATCTTCGTCGTATACCTTCGACTCTGCATGTATTTAGATGTCATCGTATTTTAGTATAGGCCACATGACTTCGGGGAAAAGTCGTGGCAAAGACACTGTTCCTAAGTACTTCGAAATAGCAATCACATGTAATCAATACGATAGATTTATGAAACCGAATTGCGCACGTAACAAAGCTGAAGACTTAAATTAAAAAAAAAAACAAACACACACATTTAATTTGACCAAAAGCAACCGAGCTGTTTATATTATGTTTTTTTAATTTGAGCGCCTATAAGTGCCCCCCCCCCCTTAAAATCGCTTGTACCACAAGCAACGTACGTCTTATTTGTAAACAGCTTTGATGGCCAGTCAATTTAGTAAGATAAGCTAAGGAGATAGGAAGTAGTCAGGTCACCGAGTGTGTGTGTGTGTGTGCCATCGATATGAGTGCCGTTACCATGCAATTACCTGACAATCACAGTAACCAGTATCGCCTAACATTGTGACCACTAGAAGAACTGTACATAAATATACGAGACATAGACCCAGATGGGCGCCCGTTACTTGTTTCCTACGCCTTACCATGACAAGGACGGATGGCTAATAACAAATGCATGGAATGGCTATTTACTAACAGTAGCAAAAAAAAAAGTTAGTAGACAATTGTCATAGAAACGATTTTTTTTTAATGCAATAATGATAATAACGAATATAATAATTATTAGTAATTGCGATTATAGTGATCACAATAATAAAGATAAATCAACAACACCTCTTGTTATCGTAGTGCTGCTCTAAATATACACATATAAGACAATGTATTTTCTTATTCTTCCAGTGATCCATTGTCTTCGGTCGTCGCATTATAATAAATTCAAGATCAAGTCCACATATCCACTGAGTTTATACGTATCCTCATTCACTGTCCTATTAATAGATATCTTCGTTGGATCTAGCCGTTATGTTTCATAACATAAACATTTCTCCTTGCAGCGTTTCTAAGCTTCTTCGAAAATGTGAGAAAAAATGTTCGGAGAAAAATCGTTCAATTATTCCTACAGCAGGCAACACAGTTGGACCAAGCATTCAAGCACAGCTGCGTGCGCCCGTGGTCCTTAACGCTTAGCCTAGCTATTTCGGATTCGCTGCACCGTACGTCGTTGGAAGGCACGACTTCGGTCTTCAAGATTACTTACTACTCTCCACCTCCATTTCTATGAGCTCTGCGTCTGAATTAATCTCTATCAAATTTAGCTACAAATTTAGAATTTGATGTATTACAGTCTTTAAGCGAAAATGTACAAGTGGTACGGTAATCATTTTTCATTTGGCTGAGAAGAATTCTAGCAGTCTAGCTAGCCGTTCAGTATAGTACCACAACCTGGAAAAGCCGTCGATCGATTTAGCCTTTAAGTAGCGCAAAATTCGAAAACCGCTTTCTTGGCTGGTCCGTCAAGAACTCCGAATTGGCTAACATCAAGAGCAAGCTAGTATCGTTTTCTTTTCAACAACGCTATACGACGTGGCCTAAAGATTCAGGCTTGGATGCTGGTGCAACTATTGGTCATTACCACTAGTCACGTCTAGTCAACGAACGTTGACGAGCGATAATATTTATCCTATATATAAGAACGCATTCATTAAAATTGTATTACTATTAGCAGGAGATGATACTGAATGAGATGACGTGTGGAATTGGACAAGGCCAAGAAGGAAGATATTTGGATACGGTAACCGTGTCGGTAGAAAAACGGGAGCCGTGCTAAACAGAGTTCGTTTTTTTAAAACTAGATATGCCGAACCATGTGCTACAGTCTCGAGTTTTAATAGACGTTGATATTTGATGCAAGTTATTTGCGTTTCGTTACAAAACATCACACGTTACTAAGTAAATCTCGGTAATGGTTACGTTAAGACCTCAATAGTAATAGTTTGAATAGAAACGTGGGTGGCCTTACAAACGTAGTGGCCAGTCAGCTGCGGCAGCTTGAGGTTCCAAGCTTGCTTATAATCAATTGGCGCCAGGTTATAGTCTTGCAGCGATAAGTGAAGACTAGTAAAACGTCCTAGCGTAATCGATACATTTAACCTTTCAAATCAAACCAGGCGTCCTATAAGGCAAGTTTTCTCTTTACCAGTATCCACTTCATCGGTTGATCCGTCCATCCCGAGGACCAGCAGCAAAGAACATACGTCGCCGTCAACTTTCAATTGAATAATTCATTTGATCGAAAAAAAAAATCCTACACAACATCAAAGCAAGTTAACAGCATAGTTATTATTACTTCTTAGAGGTAAATTTTATATTGATTAATCTTTTAGTCTAAGTTGTCGGGTGAAACAAGGCAAGTTATAGTGGCGATTTTTTTTTTATAAGTTTTTCACGAAAAATTGCCATATCAGAGCAAACTTGGCTCACTTACAACAACAAGCACATCACGGTCAGCAAGTCCACGAGACAATAGTTTGTCCCGGACATCTGCATGGTACTGATTAATTAAAGTTTCCGAAAAAAAGAAAAAAAAAACACAAATATGTGGGCTGAGCGCGATGGGAAGAAAAAACGCAAAGTCAATCTTTGTTACGCAGCACTTATGTCAACTCTACTTGCAAGTTAATATGGTAGATTACCCGTCACTTGTTACAATAATGTCCCGCTAAGTTCGTGCAGTATTTATCCCCTACAGAAATATTATTATTATTATGATAAGTTCAATCTAAGTACGCTGCATATTGCAAGCTCCTTATGGCTAAACGACTGTTCCGACATATCACATCGTTGGCAAAGATAAGTACAAAATGTATCGAAGTGAGTACGGTTTAATAGTCTTTTCTGGAGAAAGTTATCTATTCGAAAGAGGGCTATGTTCAAGCAATCTGGAAAACAAAAGTAAGTAAATGCATATTTTTCACATTGTGTGCTTGGAACTAACTTATGTATCGTTCTGCGAACCTAACTTCAGCGCGCTGTTGCAGGCAGTTGCCCTTCAAATAGGTGCTATTAACCCGTGAAACTGTTGCTTCTGAACTCAACAGGAGGTGGCACAATATCTAACACTGCGGACACCGCAGTAGGGCGGGAATAATTCGAAATGCCAAAGCACGACTTCAGTCTACGAAAGGGCCTGAATGTCCAATTAATGCAAGGCTATTTTTTCAAAAATATCCTAACCTAACATAAAAGCCGATTGAGACAATTAAAGCAACTGCCTATCTAATGCACAACGGTAGAAAAACAGATCGATAAAGATTTAGCTTGAATCCTGGAAACGAGTTTAATCTACATTCAGATTAGCACGACTTCATTTGCGACAGTAGTTTGCTAGGACCGAATAGGCTTTACAACAATTTGCCGAGTAATAAATTACATGCACTCGTTCATTGTCTTTTTCAGCAACTCATAGAGAGGTACTAGCTGAGAGTTGTGGTTGATTGACCCAACTTGAATTACGGATTATCGTATGGGGAAATGACGACATGGTCATTCTATTAGTGGAACGTTCTTGATGGCGTTACAGGTTTGGCTATCACGGCCATCTTAAGGGAAGCATCTAACCTTTTTGTTGATTTGGATTTTTTTATTCCTCCTCACTCCTCTGTTTTCTTTTCTCTTTTGTATGCAAGACTTCGTACCTGTTTACAACGGCCACAGTCATATATGATATTCGTTTAAATCAGAGAAAAGTGTGCCACATTCAACTGGACCCTGAACTGAAACAGGCTTACCTAGTGAATAGATACTTTCCCATGATCCAATCATACCAACAGAGGGGAACAAATAGAATGACTACCTTCAACCAATACGATAATGATAGCTCAATGAACAATTGCATACTATCTGTTCATAACCGGAAACGAATTTTATTACTATCACTTCAACGATCACACAGCTTGCCTGTGATTACATCGAATTATTCCGTTTTCAACAACAGAGGACACAGTTCTTCGCGGTATTTTTGACGGTCTTAAACGGTTCTGTATCACGGGTAAACCCAATACGCACTTCTTTCTCGATCACCTCTATCTCACACGGTATTCCATCGATCATAAGAAGAACCCTATATCGCCTTTCTGTGGAACTCTGAAGACGGAAAAAAGAACTGTAAGCCTTTGAGATTTGCAGGGTAATATATAACGCATAGACCGGATTAAGAGTGAAATTCGTCACGAAAACACTTACGGGTTTCGTTACGCCCCGATCTTTTACCAACACAGCAGATGGTTTAATGGTTTTGGCTTGAGCGACCGCAAATTTGACGGCATCGGACACCTTCAAATCAGCCTCGCCGAAAGCCGCAGCGACTAACGACGCTAAAAGAAGACTTAACGTGATCAACTTCATCATCGGCTAAGCAGTGTGCTTTCTGTAAAGGGAACCATACGGCATTATGCCAAATGAAGAATAGATATACCTTTGAAATTCTACTTGGGAGCCACGAATGTTTTTGGCCGATTAAATGTGATTTTTCATGTCAATGAGTGTTTCATTATTGTATATATATATATATATATATATATATATATAAATGTACGCACCTATAAACAACTGCGTAACAATAAACCTAATAGATAATATCGTGTATCTGAAAACAGTTGCTGTCAAGACACAAATGCACATAATGCCAAGCTAAATATCTGCGAGCAGTCTACGCCTGATTTGAAACTATCTACCTTTGATCGACCCTATCTACGCTACTTGTTTAAATTACAGATATATATGTGTATATAATAAATAACGGTTCGGCGGTTCGAAGATGCGCAAGCCATGGTCGTGTAACCGTAGAAGCTATAAGATTTACTTTCAAAGTGCAGTCGATATGGAAATCCACACGATTTTGCGCTTACATATCACCAGCAAACATGGAGATTTGACCCATTTTATCTAATTTAATTTAGAGTTTCCATAAGCCTGTACTTCTTCGAAGATTCCTCGAGAGTGCTACCACCGACATTTGTAAGGTATGGTATCGTGATTCCGCTGGTATATGATAGAGTTGAATCTTCGTTCTTAATGATGAACAAAAACAACAACAAGTCAAAAAAAAAAAACCTATTAGGTACGTGATCTCACCTTCACCTATTCTTCGACGTGGACAGACCATCGGACCTGCTTTCCTGTACTCCTACAAAAATAGGCTGTCCTACTAGATGCAAATACATCGCTCGCTTGATGAATAAAATGCCTACTTACGTGAATTTGTCCTTTCGAAATCGCTTTCACTAGTCTCCTCAAGAAGAGACCATGGTCCTTTAAAACAGATTGCTTATATCTCTTAAGGAGAGGGTTTGTGCGACGCAAGCGCCGCATAGAACATGAAACCGAAAAGAGTCGAATTCTATTGAAAAAAGATCCTAGCAACAGGACGCACGGTACAAGAGTATTACAGAAAAGAAATGCCGTTTACTATGAATGTAGGCATACATTCATGGTAGCTATAGGAATATTCAGCCACATGACGCATTACACTATAGTTTATTGTTATCGTTAAGCAATTAACTAGAAAATACAGTCTATGTTTAAGAGGGAACAGAGGCAGGCAGGCTTATAATAGAGTAAAACTTTGGCCGGCGCTTTTTCAACCATTTTTCTAAGTGTCAAGCCATTATTTGTCCGATTATACGAATGTGCCGATTGGCTTTCCCCAGTTCAATGCTTGTAGACAGAGCAAGCGGAGATCTTTCTGTCTCTACTTAGATCTATTCAATTTTAGCTGATTTAAAAAAAAAATTAAATAAATGACATTAAAATAGACTTTTCGACGTATTTGAATGATCAGGCAGCCAATCGATTTGGGCTAGCCGCGTTTATGGGCATCACACTGATATTCCCGATTTCCAGACCGTTTGTAAATTGCTGACTTTATGAGTCAACATCTGGCGCAACGTAACAGAGCTGATTAGAGATCATATGATGGATTTATGTGTCTTTAAGATATCTCAGTTTGAATCTGGCTGCCCTATCCTTCCAAGCAAATTGTCTCCCCATGAAAAACCCAGACCGCAATAACCAAAAAATATGATGTCCGTTTTATTATAGTTGCGTAAATCTGTAATCACACAAATCTGATTGGTGTGTGACATGTGACCAGAGCTGATGAAGTAACTTTTTTTTCGGAATTTTCAGTGATTTCAAATCTTCGCCCGTGGCGCTTTTCCTTTACGGAGCATCTATTCGCTTCTGGAGCAGGGTTCCAACGCTTTTGGAGCGACACATTTTATATGAAATTATTCATACAGTAAAATAAACATATAAAGGTATTAATTTTTTCAAAGGTAATAGGTGCAAACTAATGCCCTGCGCGATTTGAAGCATCATCAGATTGTGTTTCCATAGGTTTGTCTCGTGTCTGCGTCCGATAGTGTTTGCGTCGCACTGACTATTATTGCGTCATATCGATATTCGAGCCACTACCACGAGAACGACCCCAACTGGGGTGCCGTTTACAACAGAGAGATAATCAAGATCGCTAAGAACAGCTGTCAAGAATCTCATTTTATTCGCCCTTCGTCGTTAGCACGGTGGGCGGATACGGTGATTTCAGCCTGATCACGGATAAACGTTTCGACAGTAATTTGTTCCCAAATGGGATTAAATCTTGTAATAATAAATTGCAATCATTAAAAAAATTATAAAAGAGCCTTTCCTAGTAAATATTTTAAATTTGACCTACGTAAGAAATATTACATAATAAGTAAAGTTTTAGTTTTGCAGAAATACATACGTAGCACTATTGGATTATTTAAGGCATACATTCTATGGCAAAGGTTAGCGATGTGAGAAATCTCGTCAGCCAAATCAGCTGGCATAGGGTATCCAGCTCGATGTGGCAGCTCGGAATAATGGTCTATGTATCGTATTGTTTTGTCATAGCAAGAAGGAAATGCTAGACACCATGATATCAGCTAAAAAGCACTTTTAATCCAATTGCTCGTTTAGAAAAAGCAGGCAAAAGTAATGAAGACAAACTTAAATAAAGTCATTTAATTACTCTGATTAAACGAATGTCATAAAAGTAATAATGATATTCATTTAAAAGGAAACACTATTTCAGACTTTACTTTTGTGCTGATATGAATTGTACGGACTGTGGATTTTCTTCGAATATCTAGTTTAAAACTGTGGCTCAAGCGAACCAGACGGACTCACAATTCAACCGTTAAAATTCATTGGACACATGGAGACGAGAAGACCCTTCACTCTTCTCTATGCCAGAAAAGGCATAGTTGGATTCAGGGATGATTCCTCTGTCTTTGATCGTGTCTGTCATAGGACGCGACAAAATTATGATCAGTCTCCATATTTTAACCGCGACTTCTATGTTTTTGTTTGAATCCACGAGTTTGTGGATTAGTGAGCATCCAACAATGACCAACTGGCTCTGTGTCCAACTACGGCCCCATTGCTACAATGACGCGCTTTGAATCGTAAAGCTTTGATGTGGAGTTGCTCTTTTGAATAATCCGTGTTTATGGGATGTCAGTAAAATGTCAAATTTAGCACGATTGTCAGTTCTTTGCCGTTCGCCATTGCGCTGGAACAGTGCTCTGGGCTTGTTAATTGTGTTAGTGCGCCGATCGAAGAGAACTTCGACAGAAAGAACTCATATTTAAACGATCCGCACTCTTTCAAATGGCTAACTTATTCGTCTCACTTCCTTTTAGGCGCTTGATTCGTTCGTAAGATGAATCTACAAATTTCAACTAGCGGTGTTTATCTCTTTACTATGTCCATCAGGGAGGTGGGCATTGCTAAAGGTACAACCGGATCATCACTGAAATCTGTGCGAAATAGGCCGCCGGTTTTTTGAGAAATATTCTACTAGCAGTTATTAACAGTTCTGGGGAGTGTGCCATAATCGATTTAGAAAAATCTAAGGCAGTCGTTTGGTGTGCACAATGGAAATCTTCGGCGGCCTTGACGACGATATATTTGTGCAGAAGAAGCCTCAGCGTGAAGTAGACAGTTCAGTTCTGTTACTAGAGGCTGAACCAGGCTGGTTTCACAACGAATCGGCTCCGGAAGGTCTCGAGCTTTTGAGGCTAAAGTATCTCGCCGATCGTTTCTACAAAGAGAAGAGGTATGCCGAGGCTGCTTGGACGTACATTTCCGCAATCGAAATTTGTCCACCAAAAAACCTGGGCTTTCTGCGAGATATCATGGATGGTGCCACACGGTCTTTAATTCACAGTTCGAGGCTGTCAGGTATCCAAAATGACACAATTTACAAACAAGCGTTGGAACGAATTCATATGCTTGAAGAGATCGTAACCTGTGAAGATCACAGATTTTCGGTGGCAGCAACGTTGTGGTTGGCCGCAGGCGGCCTTAAAGATCTGCACATATTGATTGAATCCGAGCCCCAAAGCGCGAGCCTATGGAGAACCCTCGGACGCCGTTACCAGGCCGATGGGAAGGAGCTACTTGCATTGTGCTGCTTTGTTAAGGCCGCGTGCTATTTTCGAAATAGCGTGCATGAGTGCAAGGACAGATTCCGTGAAGTGAGTTTAACTTTTGCCTGGCTAATAATTAATAATTACCCTATTTCAATAATAATAAGTAACTATAGCATATGTTTTAGAGGAACAGAGAACTAAAACGATGGTAATATAGACGTCTGTAAAAATATTTCGCCTGGTTGCCTGTTCGCCGATTTACCTTAGTCAATTGAGTATCAATAATGCCTTGTGCTCATTATGTTTTATTTGTTAGCTTAGCGATCTAAAACATTGCTCGTCGCCATTTTTTTTTGTGTCATCATTTTAGGAGAATCTAGCTGCCGCAGAGGACATTAAAAACCAAATTGTTGAAATAAGTGCCGCTCTTCCGCAGAGCGCGCTTAATATCGTCGATCGAATAAACAGCTTCTATGCATCGTTGGCTGATACAAAGCGGGAGCCAGGAAAGCCCTTTGAGGATTATTGGTTTCCCCCTGAATGTCTCTAATTGTGTTCTACATAATGAGCGTGATTGCCTTATTTGTTTGAATAATATATATTGAATGCTCATATCACACAGTCATGTTTCACAAACGTCCCTTCTGATGCGCCGCGCATAAAACGCACGTTTTTTTTTTCATTCGGATGCATTCTGTAAATATATAGATAAAAATATAACATCTAGGATACTGAACACTCGTAAACAAACTAAATGTAATAAAGTCTCGTGTTCATTAATTATCCTTGCTTTGGGTCCTTGATTACGTATCGTGTACACGGCCAAAGTTGGATGTTGGCCTTTGAGGAAGGAAGGAAGGCTTACGGTTGTTCTATAAAATGCATAGTGAGTAAGTTATATTGAACTTTGCTCACCCTATGTAATGGTAAATTACGGAACACGCTCGAATGTCCGTTCACTCGAGAATCGAACACAATTTTTTATTAGGCAAGTCCATGGTGCATTTTGGAACACTAGCGATTTGATGATTTTCCACTGGGACATTACGAATGAAATCAGGGAATAACCTTTGTTGTCTAGTTTAATAATAAAATAATTATCCCGTTGCCGTGTAAGTGTGTTATTGCAACAGTTGTTATCATCTGTGGGAAAGGTGCTTTGCTACAGATTGTGTGATAAAGTCCATTACAAAGTTAAATAACTGCCTTCTAAAGACAGACCTATAATTATTCTCCAAAAAAATCGCCGCTTGTGAATCAAACTGCTGCTGAAGATTTTCGATTATGGGGGACCACTGGGGACAAATGTCCTGCCAACGGAATGTGGAGGGCTCATGTAGCGATAAAACTATATGGATCACTCTGATTTCGTAATGAGAGAGCGTTGGCTATTTTTTTCTTATAAAATTTCAAAATATGAGACAATACAAGCCAGCTAACTATTTATCGCGTTTCATCGAATGTTCACTGAACTAGGAGGAATTTAAGAAACTACTTGATTTTTACGTCACAGTTTCGCCTACTAGTATAAGCAGACTTAAAGAAAAATTGCACCTTATAGAGGTCATCTGGGGGCTGAATCCGCCAGCTTTAGCGGCCCAATAGAACTCATGAAAATTATGGTAGAGAAATCATGAAGCTTACTCTAGGTATCTTGGCTTGAAAAAGACTGCATGTAACAGTATGTGTATACATTTCGGTAGTCAGCCTAAGGTGAACCACAGATCTTCCAGACGTGACCTCTTACGTATAAAATGATCTTTACTGCAGCCCGGAAAGTAGCTGTCTACGGTCTTCACAAGACATTGGCATGCAACATTCTCCAGTTGGGCGTACGGTGGTACATTATTCTTGTATGTAAAATGTCTACGACGCAAAGCCAGGCTGTCGTTCGCGTCGTATCACCACTGACCTTATCAAGCTTTTTCTGGTGGTTGTAAAGCAGAGGTTCTGATTCTAGCCATTTTTGCTACTTGTAATATTATCTTAGTCTATACCTGTAATATTTTGGTAACGTGCAATAATTTCTTGTTAATAAAGATATAGATTATAAAAATCTAATGTTTTAAATATATTTTGACTCGGCGTCATTTGAATACTTATAATTACAAATGTAACTTAATAATTTCAAATGGGAATGCTTTCAATATAATTGAGATAACTCACAATCGTTGTTGGTTTTTTAGTTCTATTTTAATTTTATTAAGTCCTATACATTTCATATGAGTGTATTATGTTTGGCGAAATATAGTTTCGAAGACTTACAGGAAATAATTCAGCCATAAATCCGACACGGACACCACATCAACCGAACGAACTCCATTATTATTATATGCACTGGGCATCTCGACGCCTACGGATACGTGTACGGATGACAGCACTTTTAAAATACTTTATAGAGCATCACCGAATTCTACTCAGATCGTGCTATTGAATCACGGTTCTTTATCCTGCTGCCCCACTTCTCAGCAGCGTTGTGTCGTCTAGCTTGACATGAATACTACTATCAACAGTGGTCCATGATGCAAGCCTGGTCTTGGTAATGTGTGCATTTTTTGAAGGTTTGATGAACAAGGCCTTTCGGTAATCAAGCACCAGCCACAACGAAACAACGGCAGGACAATATTACCATCAATTAGACGAGGCCCAAATTTCCTAGCCTTAATTCATGGCCTGTCTAAGTTACACCGTTTTTCGCACAAATTTTTTTCTTGCGTACGCAAACATCGTTAGGCATTTCGTGACATCGTGGACAACACAGTCCGTTATCTTGTTTAAGTTCACAAGGTGCTAGCTACCCACAGCACCATAATTGGCCCCTATATTTTACTAGCTTGCCCCCGAACCAAATGATAACTAACAGCTGGAAAAAGTCGATGAAAGCCATTATTGAGTGGCGGCAAGACGTAGTCCGTCATCACTATCAATGATTTGGCACCATTTCGAATACGGCCGTTAATCATTCGGTATGAGAAGGCTGCACTGCCGTTCGGTGTTCTAGTTTGTAAACTGCTAGGTCCATATGAATACGATATCGCTGGTTAAGGCTGACCCCTATTGCTGGAAATAAGTTAAACAATCTCGAATAGCGTTTTTGCGATTATAAGACCGTTAGAGCATTCGTTGCGTACCAGTATTTTGGCATGGAGAACTATGGAGATTGAGTTTGTTACGAAAGGACACAACGATGTTTTTAAAAAGCTTTCTTCTATCATTATCTGTTCAATTCAAAACAAACGTTAATACTTACTAGTAACTACCTTAGATTACCGCGTCTGTACTTAATATACCTAATATTTTACGGCTTAAGATTATTAAAGCAGTAGTTCTAGAGGCAGCCTTTAACTGGCCGAAAGGCTATGCTATTCTAGCAAATGGGTTTGTCTTTAACCTTGCTTAAAGGCGTTCGATTCGGTATTGGGTCAGCCTCTTCCATTTTCGGCCGCTTCGTTTACACTTACTCGATTAATAGCCGAATAATACCTTAGCACGTATATTTTCCACAAGTTGCTTCTCACTTTTTATTATAAATAGACCTCAGGATGGTCGAGGGGGACGAGCATTAATCCGTGATTTAAAAGCTGTCTTAACTTCACTAATGTGTTTTTATAGCTAGTACATAGTTTCACACATAATTACACATAACACACATAAAAATGTTCCAAACTCTTCGAAAATGACGTGGTAATCATCTGTGCTAACGGACCATGCGTGTCTGACATATTAAGCGGAATACGCGTAGCAAGCTAACTTCAGCCGCGTTTGCTGATATAAACACTTACTAGGCAAAAGGCCAGCTCGTGCAAAGGCAACGAACCTGAAATAGAAAAACACCCTCAAACTGAACAATCAAATTCTGGCTGCATGGAATGTTAATATATCGAGTCTGAGTGAAACAGCTTAAGAGCGCTCCAGGCGCTACGATACAACGGTCCTATTTCGACTGCAAACGGTATGGCCTAATATTTTCGGCTTTACGCCTGTCAGACCCAGTACGAAACGGACCGAGTGTCTATGTCCTGGTTCGAACTTCAACCACGACGTGTCGCTAATATCAGCAGGCAAATTCGCTACTTGCTAAACTGTCACGGCTACGGTTTGTATCTTTTTTTTTTTTTTTTTTTTTTTTTATGGTCCTTATTCTAAGTTCAATGGTCTGCTATACTTACTCACCAGAAAATATTTTAGTATATATTGACAAACAAAGCAGGTATCTTTATGCGGAAATTTGTTGCGCAATCGATATTGCCCTGATATTTTACTACAGTATAGAGAACAAAAAACGAATACGAAGGATAAGTGAGTACGTAAAAGTTTGCTACTTACAAATGTTCAACTGCGAGGCTGTTGAATATGGCCGAGGCGTGAATGTCAATGATGGATACATTGGAAAGAAGTAGATCCACAATCATTAGATAACTGTTTGTGCCGTTGCGAATATCGGTCCAGTCACTAAGAGACCTTGTTCGTATAATTAGTTACGTCGGGAGCCGAAACTTTCCCGAGTCGGTAAAAATCGACGGATATACTACTTTAGATCAAGGTGATCTTCGAAGTGAATAGCTAATATAGATAATCAGTTCCGGTGTATCTTTCAATACAATACGATAGATAAATTCGTTTATTAATTTGACCCGGTAGGGATAGCCCTCTTCGTGTGTACAACCATGCATCAAATAAAGCAACAGCTATTAAAATAGCCGAATTTTCTTAAACCTCGTAAAAAATCCTTTTGAAAAATAAAAATATTACATTTTCGAGTGTTAACGCTACGTTGGAGATTAACAACAACGCTAGGGACGATGATTTGGTCTCGAGAGAGATCGCATTGTCGAGAAATATGTTCTAGAAAGCTGTCACGTAAAAGTTAACGCGAAAAAGAAATCTACACATGGGCTCATAATCCTCGTGTGGGCGAAACCAAAGAGCTATAACTTCGCTTTGCATTCAGAACACCCTAAGAATCAAGTTAAGTTACTGATGCGGAAAGCAACCCTAGTCACACACACACGACGTAATTTTGGAAACTTCATTTGCCTGTTGAACGTAACTTACAAATCTTTATAGGTAGAGTGGTATATCAGCCTAAGAAGTATGTCATGCTATCAGCAAAAGCCTTTAAGAATAACGTATTTCAGGACATACCTACATTCAGTTTGCCTTACAACAAAAGGAAACACAGTCAATGGCTTTTCAGACTGCCGATGTATCTTTTATACTCTAAATCTCCGTAATATTTTGAAGTCATCAGCACACATTTTGTATTTAGCCCCTAGTTGGTAGAGCCGCCGCCGCCGCCGCCGCCGCCGCCGTTCAGACGTAGTCCAGACAAGGCTTAAGCATAGAGCCTGTAACGGTTTGGGTCAACTGCTGATGGGTAGACATAGAATCACTGACTGAGACTCGTAACGCACGGCGGACATCAAGCGACTACGTCAGTACTGATCCCCTGGAATCAAGATCTTTTTACAAGGTATAGATTGATCAACCTTCTCAAACGCATGCAAGAACTCGGCATATACTACATCGAGAGACACAGTTAGGTTGTACGTTTATGAGTCGTGTGTTAATAGACTACCTTTTTCGAAAGTCATGTTTGTTAGAATCATGTAGTACGTTTGATGAAAATGGTAAACGGCATGAACGAAAGTGTTTTCCACTAAGGGACAGCGTGGAGCTTTCTGGTGGTGAACGCGATCTCTTTAACTGAAAAACTGTCATAAAAGATTCGCGAAACAGTGAGAACCTACACCATCCATGAAGCTGTTAATGAAGATAGTAGGGGCAACAGTAACGCGAGAAGACAAGCTGCCTCTTCAAAGAAGGTTGGCGATGCTTGGCCTGTAGTAAGGCTGCGCTTGTGCCTGATCCCATGTATGTTTCGCATCGACAACCACGAGAGTAAACTCAGATATCATTAGGACGGGCGTTAGTCGGCATAAGTCTGCGCTGGCTGGATGCACATGCAAAATATCTTCAGAGCAACTTGGTCAGTATGCTCGAGTAAACGAAATGACTCCATTGTAAACGTTTCGTATGTTATCTGCGAAAGAAGCTCCGTTTGTCTCCTTCAAGTTAGGTCGCTTGCGGGACGCACAAGCCGATTCGCGTGAGTCAATTTAATCGAGCGTATTGGGGAAAAAGAGTGATTAAATTAACCAGGGGCATGGAAATATGGTGCAGAGAGGGGTATAGCAGTTGCTGTAGTAACGTGTGACCTTGTTGCAACCGCGACCAGTGAACAAGGTTAGAATTGACAATGATCACTCCAGAGTCACTAGCTTTTGCAATACCTAAGCACTACATGCAAAAAGATTGCGGCTTACGAATAATTTATTGGAAGAAAGTTGCCAAATGGCTCGATTTTAATGGCAAGCAAGGCTGTACGTGGACGCTAGTAACGAAGTCTTCAATATCAGTTAAAACAGTTCAGTTGAAAGGCTTGAGTTTCAAAGTGACAAATTAAAAATTTATAAATTACCTCACCAGTGTAACACATGAGCTGGCGCACGCGTAGGTGTTACAAACAAATACATATCGTTCTTAAGTTATTATATCCCAGCTAGTGATAAACTAAAGGTACTACGAGTTCTTTCTTGACATGTTCGTAAAGAAGATCACTGTTGCAGTCAGAACCTCTAGTGCAGACAAACGCTTAAACGGGCGCTGAGGCCATCTAAAGTTTTTTACGTTCAGTATTGTGCGCAAGTCTTGCTTCAGACGGATGACCTTTCCAAGCACGTAAAACGTGTGTCTACGTCCAACCCCGAACCCTAAACCGCGCCGCGTGTTTTTGACGTCAATAGCCAGACTCGTTGCCAAACGCTATTACAAGGGCGTCTGCAGCTCCCTAATCGCACACACGGCGGGGTTGTTTTCGTTAACTAAAACGAATGAATGCATTCGCTCTCATTGCGGTAAGATAACGATTAGTTATAACATGGATTTATAGTAGACAGTAAGAATTGCAACTATTCAATAATTAATGTGTACCTTGTGAATTGAAAAAAAAAAACAGCTTTGAATGAGCCTTTAAGGGCTCTCTGACATGACAATGTGTCAACAATTCTTAATGCTCGCCCTCAATACTGTCGGTGTTGATGAGCGAGTCCAAAGAAGGCAACCGTTGTTGCGGCTGGAAATCGTGCCCTGCCAAAATCTATACGTGTTGATCTGTACTTGATGCCTGGTAGATGGGTGAATGTGTACGTTTGTTGTTCTCAGACTTTTTGGCCGCTTAATTTCTTGCAGATGATCTCGGAATGAGCAAAACCCTCGCTCCAGAGGAATCCACTCTTCATGGTCCCACGATAACCATTGTCTCGCAGGCCACTTTTCTTCAATCGACACTCGGCTATATCATTGTGATACTCGTCATCCTCATACTTCTCGCCCTTTTACTACTGGTAGGCTTTTCATAAGAAAACTATTTTCCTATATCAGTAGATCACGCTTAGTGTTGGCCATTTGAAATTTATATGTATTATTTCCGAAGGGCTAGAAAACGATCGTCATGGAACTTAACAAAAAGGAGTGCTTTTGACAAGAGGCAAGACCAACGAGTTGTCCTCTTTTTTTTTTTTTTTTTTTTTTTTTTTTTTAATACAAACCATAGGCTACCATTAAGCAAATGCTGTTCAAAGAATCATTGCTGATTTACTGAAATACTGATATCCGATCTTTTTCGAATTGATGTATTCCTTCAACACGATGAAGAAAACTTACCTTATCTTCAAGAACAAACAGTGCCTAACAACTTGAAGAAAGTTGTGTCCCGTTTCGAAACGCAAATACTTACTATATCCTACCATTGATTTACGAATCGCAGAAATAAAATGGAGCTTTTTATCATATTTGAACAGTCAACTATTCACCATGTGGTCTGGTTTCTAATGTCAAATCTCTGCTGTCTCTCCATAGATATCACGCTTTATTGGAGGTGTTAAAGATCAAGCGTAGTTCAATTGATTTGGGTCAATAGGTAGATCTATCAGGCGATTCAATCAATGGCTTCTTTGAGGCTTGATGAATAGTCACAGATCAATAATGAAAAGAGCTAAGAGGTTTTTAAGACTATTTTATCTAACGCAATGAAGGTTAGTCGGAGAGACATGAGGGTCGGACATATATAGCTTTCCATATTGATCATTATGGACTAATATATGTATATCTGTTAACAAAAATATTGTTAACAGATACATATATTGATAAGAGTTTAATTTTAATATTAATTAATTAATTAAAGATCTTAATACAAATTTGCCCCCTACGCTATGGCCTAGCTTTAAAGGCGAATCAATAAAAAATTTATCTTCAATGGTAAATAAAGCCGTTTATTATTATGATCGTCACCTAATCACTAGCTGTTTGGCATGCACAACCTCAAGTTAATCTGTACCTGTCTAATATGAACTTTTACAATTGACTTAGCTATGTATTTGTCTATGCTGCGCAATGGCCCTTCTCTACTTTCGCGAAGGTCCTACACAGAGGAACGAGAATAAGGCGCGTTTCATTCCGCGCATACGAAAGAACTGGAAAAGTTTGAGGGATGCTGAAGAAGCGGCTCGACTTATTAGTAGATAAGTAAGGTCGTCGAAAATCAGAACTTGGGGTACGTTTATCGTCTTTGACAAGCCTAGTCATATTTCAGTGAAACCTACTACGAACAGGTTGGTTTTGATTTAAGAACCCCGAAGGTATTATAAACTCATAATAAACCTAACCTTGCCAAAAAGCATTAGCCGAAAGTGAAGACCCGCTGTTGTGTACGGCGTTTTCATAGTCCGTTCAAAGATTGAAGTGTTCATGTGGAAGCGTTTTACCATTGTACGATATAGAATATCATTAGTCATTTTATGCTTTCAGGTTTAATAATGGCTAATTTTATCTTTGTAAAGTGTACAATAAAAGGTCTGCTCTAGTTTATTATACATATGGTTAGGTAAATTAGTGTATTGTACTACCTATTGCTCCTTCCTTTGAAGGGTTTTGTCGAAACGTTCATTGAGCTCATGGCATTTCTAGCGCGTCGTAGGCTGCTGTCACGCAGTCGGTTTCTGCACTACTCTAGAGAACAATAATAGATCTTTTTCTCTCGTACGGCTTAGTTTATTGTCATTATACTTGCCATGGGGCATCTATTCGACCGGCTGTCTTAGTCCTCATATTCTCTGCGTTTAGAATTCAAGTGTTCAGGTGTTTCTGTGCGTATCTACTTGTGTTGCCAAATGCATGCCTCGAGCGTCGCGTCCGAGTGATCAGTGAACTTTAGCAACAAAGGTAGCAGACGAACCCTGACCAGTAAATCCTGAGACACACCAGCACCTTCGTAGGCTCCATGATCACTATGGAGCCAAACATTATTTAACAAAAGCAATACGAATTTGCATAGGGCCACCGTTACCAGCAAACCTTTCACATGATCGACACCATCTACCGCAGTAATAGTTGTCATAACGGTAACACCTAGCACCACGAGGGGAACTACAACTTGCAGCAGGACGAAAGACAGACAGAGGACCCAACTGCTGACTAACCTGCAAAATGAAAAGCGGTAGACGGGCGAATATGGCCCAGCAAGAGAAGGCAAGCCGCATCCTTCCCATCGTCAAGCTGAATAGAGGAGTAAAGGAGGCTGTCAAGATACAAAGAATACAAATGGGAACGGCCTGGATGAAACTGGGACACTTCGTGCGGAACTAGCTACTCGAGAAGACGCGGTCGAAAAAAACCAGTGATTCTGTTTGGGCGCCCCGAAGAAGAGGAAAAATGCCGGGTTTTTTTTCCTGAAATTTTGCTACAGTTGTACGTGGCATTAGATCGGTACAATCGACGGTGCTCAAACTGATATGCAAACAAACTTCTGGCCCGTTCGGTATAACTGTGACTTGTCAGATGACTGAGACGAAGTGGCCACCTCGTCGAAAGCAACAAGATCAGAGCCAGCAAATATCTGTTGTCCAAACTTATTCGCAGTAAACCGCTAGCGTGCTGGTCTAACAGAATACGTGCGCTGTATAATACACGTACTACCGACAAAACTTAGCGAATTTCTTGTGTGACTTATTTTGTGAACAGGTCAACAACTACCTACGAACTAGGTTTTGTACACTAATTGCATGTATATCGAGGAAGGATCCAACGTAACCGCAAGATGAGCTAATCATACCCATTTCGCTGCACGAATTTCGAAATTGAGCCCGGTGAGTCCTTCCGCCTCCCGTGCTTAGCAAACACGGAAATATAACCGTAATACACCAAAAATCCAACACAATACTTCCCTTATTTATTTCGTAGACAGCTAGCGATAAGTTACCGACTAGATTACCCAGTTTTCTCACGCATCTATTCCAATCCATTGCGGGACCGTAGACTATGTTATTCCAGAAACGTTGAATTTGTAGACCTCCGAAATGCATATCTATTTCAACAACAACCCTGTACAAAGCTTTGTTTTGTGTAGGCGAATATTAGCTTATCAACCTACCTACCTACATCAGATATAGGTAGATTATGGCCACCGGATAGTGTAAATTGTACACAATAGATCTCTATCGAATGCTTGTGTGACACCTTTTCCCACTTTCGTGGCTGGCAACAAACACCGAGCGTCACCGTATCATTTTGACGGTTCTGGGTGCCTCTCGCACCGGCAGGTTCTTTAGGTTATTTCGTCTCTTGTTCGCAGAGTTTTCTTCATTCGGGTCAATTCGGTCTAGAAGAGCCATGAGTAGCAATAACCACGGAGCGGTCCGTCCGGCAAAATTACCTAAAGAAACAAACCATTCAAGAACGAAAGCGCGAAAACGGACTACCAGATGGCGAGAGGTCCGGCAAAAGTTGTGAGAGAAGCAGTTCACGCACATAGTTAGCGGCTCGTTGACAGGTCGGGAAGGCAGGCTGCCAACAAAATCGTTTAACTACGGAAGGTCGTCAGGCGGATCGTGCGCGTCTTGGATCCGATACAATTTCATGGCGAATTTCACAGATCACATTAGAGCTAAACGTCTGAGTTCAATCCTGAGACTGCGTCGTTTTCTGTTTTGGATTTCTAGCGTTCAATGGTCGCGACGCGCACATGCACTCCATATTGTGTTCGCGGTTCCGTACGGGTCGTAAAATCAGACGTATTCGTTGAAAACGTTTAGCTTTGCGCTTCTGGCTGAGGTGCAGTGCCTCAGGACTGAATGGACTAGGCTTATAACGAACTCGTATGCAGAGGCTTTGCAGACCGGCTTACTCTCGTAAGCCGGTTGAAGATACAGTGCCGCGTTGCAAATCGGGGGTGAAATATATATATATATATAAACGATGAAGATTATGTGTGTGGATTCTCACAAATCCGGTCCACGAACACAGCAAAATACGTGCTGCGAACGTGTTTTACAACTATGAAAGGGTATTCAAACCAGGTAAAAAGTAGGTCTTCATTCAAGCTTTTGAGAGGCTCAGCGTAAATAAAACGTACGTTTTCTTTGTTAGCAAGGATCAGATGCAGGCGCTCATAATAGTCAAATCTGACTTCTTGGTCGAAGATTAGGAAGACACCAACTGTTAGATCTGTATGATTTCGAGTAGCATAATTAATTGAGGGTGTTTCTAATCGACTTACGGCGGGGTAAACACGTCACTGATGGCGAGACGAAATCTGTCAATTGCTTTCAGGTCAGCCAGCTCCATAGAATGGCTTAATGGAATCTTATGCAGGACTGACCGTACATCTAGCGTTGGCAGACTTTCGATTCTTGAGTCACGTGAGGTCATCTAGCCACCTAAAAACAATGCCGGACGCCAGTACCAGATGCAAAACTCGAAAAATCTCTCGATCAGATATAAAGGAAATTCGTTAATAGTACATAAGACATTTTCGTGAGATAATTATTATTCAGTCTTAAACGAAGACTTCCCTATATAAATTTACCAAGTGAAATCGAATTGATCTTTTCAGCCGCAGCCAATTGTCTAGCTACCATTCGACAAATGCGCGCGTACGTAATAATACCTAGAATGTCATTCTCCGTTGAGGAAAACTATCGATTTTGCCAAACCCTGCTACCCTTAAGCCATTTCGTTGCTTCTCAATCTAAAATTCATTCTCTTCAACCACAATAAATGCGAGAGATCACTTCGGTGTTTATCGCTTGGAACAGGCTGCTCTACGTACATCGTACCTTGAGCTAATTCATCTTTTGGTGCATCGCCTTTAAAGACACCTGCGAGCCCGAAAATGAATAAAGGATCAGTACAATCCGGCAATCGTATAGCGCATTTCTCCCTTTTGTGGTTCTTCTGTGATTCGTATTGTTGTTGGCACCGATGATTGGTCGATCGTACTGTGACTTCGATTCCCCATCTTGAACGCACGGATCACGCAGCAAATCGATACAAATAGGTTACATTAGTTTTGTCTCAGTGTCCGCTCGTGCTTCGTCGGTGAAGATTGGCCGTGGTAGCGAATAGAAAAAATATTTTCAATTTTCTTCCATTACTGTTCATATATGCCCCTTGTCGATCTGTTCGTTGCTCGCTTAAACTGTGGCTGCGAGTTGAAAGCCGGTGACCGCCTCGAGCAATGAAATCACAGGGCCGGTTACGCGATCGCATAGGGCATTTTTCCGTCGACGAACGAGCGGGTCAGCGTAAGATCACTGGCGCTTCGCGATGCGTTCGTTAGCGGACGAGCGGTGTCGGGCTCGGTTTTTAATTATAATTAATTTTGAATTGTATTTTTATTATACCTGTGCATTTCTCATGGCACCCCATTGCCCGTAGCGGTAAACTCAATTTCTGACACCTCGGTAAAGTTACTACTGCTATACGCAGGCTGCTCCGACTCGGATCTTTTACTGTAGCCAAAACGAGCTTAGGGGCACCCGTTCTTACTTAGCTTTCTTAACAAAAGGCTTTTCGACGATACTCTCATAGTTCAAATGCCAGTACGATGTGTTTCCATTGATAATTAACTAGGGACTTATACTGTAAAGTAAGCAACTGTCATTGTAAACGCTACGTAGACCAAGTGTATTCGCTGAACGAACAGCTTTATTTTTCCCTATTCTTTAATATAGATGCGTTAACTTGACACGGTTTGACTCCTACCTAGGGGCACTAATAATTCTTATCATCTTATCTAACATTATCACATAAGCTTCTCTTCCTCACTGTATCTACATTAGGCGGGTCTAATTGAACATACTACCGTGTTGCCTATTTCCACATTCACGTTTGCAATATAAATGAAACGTTTGTTTTTTCCTACGTAAGTTCAATTTCGTGCTAGTGTCTCGTTGAATGGCCACACTCGCAGTACACGACTTGCACAAATCAATGGCTGGAAGGCCGGCTCCAGGCCGCAGGTTATTCCTATGTAGTCAAGTAACGATTCGGCCCAAAGGAACACAAGAGAGATTCGTGTAGCATAACGATTGATACATGTTGCACTTTATTGGCTCAGTGTTGTATACATCGGCTGTGTAGTAGAAAAATAAATATGATCGTGAGCTCTTTACAACTGTATACAACTGTAGGCGTGGATGTTTGCACGTTTTGTGCTTGTTGATGGGCGATATATACAAGTATTCGTTTCATTCAGCTATCGCCTATTGCGACAAACAAGTCCAATATCCTATGCGACGCATGCGGGCTTATTACAATTCAATACATTATAAATACAAAGAGATAGTGAAGGCAGGCACCGGTCATCGAACGGTGGCAGCATCAAAAGGCGGCTATACGCCTCTCCATGATCTAATGAAGCGGAACAGTATTATTTATAGCTTAGTTTAGGAGAGACCAAGCGCAAACGGCCGATATACTAGCGTTGTGTTTCCATATTGCGAGTAAACTTCTCTCGTTTGCTCTCGCGTCCGGCGATCCGCTACTGCGGTGATTTGACCGATGACCGCACCGTTTACCAGTGGACATCATCGTCGTCAGCGTAAAAAACGTTACTAGTTGCTTAAACTGTCATCAAGCGCGCGTTGTCGTTAGTGTGTGGGCAGCTTCTGATCGCTTCGCTTGCGTTCAGTATTACATTTCTGATATAAAGAGATCGGAAGAGTATGAACGGATGCTGGATCCCATGCCGCGACTGCTGTGAAGTGTCCGGACATCAGGACCAACGCAATTAACAACGTTTTTCACGTTGATCATAAACAAGAAAACGGTTCGATTGATTGAAAAACCCAGTTTAGAGTTGCTTTGTTTGTGTGTGTTGTCTGAAGTGTTTGATAATGGGCGAGCTGCCCAAGGGCTGCAAGAGTCCTGAATTTTATTCTCGTATTTCCTTTAATGTGTTTGTTGCTGAAGTTGTATTGGTAATACCCGAAAATGATTATTTAAAACCGAAGTAGAAAATGTCTGCTAATTTGTTTCGATTTCTCCTGAAAATATCTATTCAGTGTTATCGCATACAGCATTATGGATGTACAATGTTTGCTACGACGCGTCACGTTCGCGCGATCAACTTGTTCTATCAGTATATATATATA